AGGCAGGATGGACGAGTATGCTTCCGCTCGTCTTGAAGAAATACAACAGCACCAAACACTCATCCACGAAACTCACACCCAATGAAGCCCACGGTGATAAGAACCATATGGATGTAAAGGTAGATCTGACAAGAAACGAAAAGAACACGAGGAAGTATGAGGAGATATACGAAAATGATACGGTCAAAATCTTCACCAAAGGAACAGGCAACTACACCGACAGGAAAGAATACAATAGCAAATGGTCTAAAGAAAACTACAAAGTCAGGAAAATAGAATACGACACGACGGGAAACAGAACCTTTCAACTGGAAGGATTGACTAAACCGTTCCTTCGGGCACGAGATTCCTCTTGGTTTGATAGGATGTCATAAATCCAACTTTCGGGTATTCTGTATAGTTCATCCTGTGTTTTCTTCCTTTGTTCCTCCCATCTACCTTTACACGGAAGTCTCTGTGCGGTTTCTTTGTGTCTGTTTCCTACCATACTATTACTATCTTTTTTACATAAGGGTCTGGGTTTCCAACTCTTCAAGTTTGTCCATAATCGGGTTCGCTTTCTGTATTCAAAACCATACTTACAAGAGTAAACATCATAGTAATCAAAATCTTGCATAAAGTCCTGTTCCTTTAACAGACCTGTTTGTGGATTTCTATGAAAAACACTCTTGGTTGAAAGTTGTTTATGATTTCAATAGTTTTCCTGACGATACTATTAGCATATATAATCTATATTTCTAACACCAGTGGTTTTTGCTCTGCTATATTCAGTACAAGGAGGCGACGCCCAAATAATGTTAAAATCTCTACATGTACATACGTCTTACAATCCCATTCTAATATATCTTCGTTGATATTTGCGTTCTTCAAATCTAACGATACAACACTAAAACCGAACTCACGGGCAACTCTACCAACACTGCCTGTTCCACTAAATAACTCCAATAGTTTCATATTAAAACTCTATAGAGTTTAATATGAAAGTATCACACTAAAACATACTTCTCCGCTTCAGTATCCTTAACGATTTGGTAGAATTCAAGCGAATGCTTTTTAGGTTGAGTCATTTATCCGTTGTTAATCCATTCCAAGTATTGCTTTCTCTTCTCATCCCACGAACCAATGGGTCTTCCTATCTGTTTTTGTTCAAAAATGTTTATCAATCCTTTCCTTGTCGTCCTTCTTCTCTTCCCTTTTAGGTTCAGTGAGTTTCTCCTCAATGGCCTTCAAAGTCTCCATTATGGTTTTGATGTTCTACATCTGTTCAGTTTGTTTGTCAGTATCATTGATACTTGGATACTGGTATCGGGGTATCATTGATACTTGGTTCTGGGTATCATTGATACTTGGATACTGGTATCAGGGTATCACTGATACTTGGTTTTGGGTATCATTGATATTTGGATACTGGTATCGGGGTATCATTGATACTTGGTTCTGGGTAACGTTGATACTTGGATTTTGTTTCATTGATACTAGGTTGTGGGTATCGTTGATACTTGGATGCTGGTATCTGGGTACAATTCATACTAGGCTCTGGGTATCGTTGATACTTGGATATTGGTATCTGGGTATCATTGATACTAGGTTCTGGGTATCGTTGATAGTTAGATACTGGTATCTGGGTATCATGGATACTAGGGTTGGGTATCTGCACTGATGCATGCAATGTGTGAAAATTGCTCTTGGATGACTCACCCACAAAACATCTCAAGTGCCACAGTTCTTTTCACTGGCGAAGCTCACATGTATCCTGCATCCCTCAACTTCTGCTCATCCTCTTGAAAGAGCTTAGCGACGAAATGCATATGCTTCAAAACCACACTTAAATTGGTTGTCCTCCTCAGGACGCAGTCTGCGGGCTCCTCACGAAGAAGCCTCATAGTCAATTTGGTCTCCTGCTTGCCCTCCAGGAGATACCCCATGGATCCTGCCTCTGCAACCTTGAAGAGATTCCTGGTCAATCCATTTCTTCTCAATGGTTTCCACCCTCTGCTGGTACCACTGCTCAACCTGCTTGATGACCGCATCCGCACCTTTCTGACCTGCTCTAGAGACGTTTTCCAGTATCTCACCCAAGGCCCGGAAGTTTCCCCCTGCGCGGATGTAGTAGCGCTTTTCCACCTCGTCCATGTCATCTTCGGCAAGAACCTTGTTCAGCGTCCGGAAGCCGTTTCCCTGCTTCGCGATCTCCTTGACCACAGACGTGAAGTCTTGGAAAGGTAGGGGTCGCACCACCACCAGCCTTGACATGTTAAACCTTTCTTTGACGATGTCCGCCGCCGCAAACACGCTGACCTCCAAAATGAACTTGCGCGCAGCATTGTCGTAAGTGATGTTGCGAGCGAAGGCACCGAGGGTGGAAGCAATGTCATCACAGGCATCCCTACCAAATTTGTCTCCGCGGCTTTGGTTGTGAGTTGCAGGTACACCACGACAGCACTGCCTGTTCGGCGCTTGGGCGTCTCATTCACCTTTTCCAGCAAGTATTTAACGCTTGACGGGTAATATCGGGGCAAATCTACGGCTTGTAAGGCTTGGGGCAGCGCCTCGTTGAGCTTGAAGTCCTCACCAGGACGAAGAGAACTATCAAGAGGAAGCACCCTTTTGCCATTCTTCACATGCTCACACATGAGATTGCTCAGCATGGTTGATTTCCCAATACCTTTGGGAACCACTGACCACCAAGAATGAAGGTGTGCGCAAAGCTTCACGTCGAGGTGAGTTGGGTGTGGCCAGAAACCCTGGTATGGATCGTTCCGCGCTGCAGTGAGAGTGATCCAAACCCTATGGATCAGAGCGCTGATCCAAGCCCTATGGATCAAACCGACAAGTCACTTGATCCAAGCCCCCAACATGAACACATCTGCATGGTGGCACTTCACCCCACCACTTTCTCACCAATTCACTGTGAAGGTGGTGGCTTCCCAGATCAAAGCCATCCTGTTTGCGGCACGCCTGCTTTGAAGTTCTGGCCGCTGTGAGTTTGGGCTCCACTGTCCACATATTGAGCAATCAGCTGGCCGCGCATATTGGTGACTCAGTGGGCTTTCAAGACATTTAACAGGTGGTGGCTTCAGCTCTAGATTGGATGCGCAGTCCGAAAACTGATTTAGTGGCTGCCGCTAATTCTGTTTGGCCTTAATATTGTGGTCTAGCACATTCTGGCACCTTATTTAATATGGCTTAGTTGGGTTGGCTCCTCCCCTCAAAGGCTTGCATAGCCTAATGGTAAAAGCGTCGGTTTCCAATTCTTCACTTCCACAGTGTGAAGGTTCGAGGCCCAGTTGTGAACACGCTTAGTGGCTTCCAGTAATTAATTTTTGGCTGGAATGGGAAGTCAATTCGAAGTTGAGTCTGGTGGTAATACTGGCGATAGTGGTGAGTAGCAGTAGCAGCAGCAGCAAAGCTGTTGCAGGCAAAGTAGCAGAAGGAGTGGTGGCAGCAGAGGTGGTTGTAGTAGTGGTTTGTAGTAGTGGTGGTTCGAGTCCCGGCTGTGACCACACTTAGTGGCTTCCGGTAATTAATTTTGGCTGGAATGGGAAGTCAATTTGAAGTTGAGTCTAGTGGCTTCCGCTAAATCTGTGGTGATGGTAATACTGCTGGTAGTAGTGAGTAGCAGTAGCAGCAACAGTAAAGCTGTTGCAGTAGTAGCAGCAGGTGGCAAGTGCAGTGGCAGTAGCAGTGGTGGCAGCAGAGGTGGTTGTAGTAGTGGTGGTGGATCCACACCCCATGGATCGAGGTATGGATCGTGTGTGGGTTTGGGTGTGTGATCCAAGCCTTATGTTTTTGGCCGTAGCCAGTTGATAAAGTCCTTGATGATCCTTGATGTATTCCTCCTCGAGCGGCCGTGCAGGGGCGGGCTCTGTCCTTTCCAGCCTTGGCCCAGCCTTCCTCACTGCTTCATGAAGAAGCCAGGAAGGAACCTTTGAATGAGAGCTTGGAGAACCAGCACTACGACGCTCCCTGTGCTCAACAAAGTCCAACCAGTTTTAACGGTCTGCGCCGGAAGAGCCCTTGCAGGCTGTGTTCGTGCATGACCGCTTGGAAGGACGAACCGGCCTGGCGCAAGCTGAACCTGCCTCACAAAGATGCATCTGCAGAATTTCCAAGAAAAAGGACAATACATCGGTTCAGTCAATTTGTGCCAAACTGGCTTTGGATTGCAGGATGCTTGGTATGCAAAACCAAACAGGAACCACAGCGCCTAACCTCAATCAATACATGAATTTGAAGCAAATAGTTCGACATCTTTGAAGAACAGCTTGGTAGAATTTGAACCTGAACCTACACATAGAAACTCTGACCACCTCAACAATTATCCCCTTCATTCAATCCAAACAATGAAGTGAAAGTTATGACCCTAAAACACGCATAACAAGACCCCAGAAAAATGACAAAGGCTCAACACAAATGTTCAAGAGCCAAGAAAATTCAACGAGGTGATTAACAAGAACTCACCAGAACTTCCGTTTTACCAATGGTTCTTCCCTCCTCGCCTTCCACTTCTTCCGCCAGCACCGCCTGGAGCGCCTGGACCAGGCTCGGTGCGAGCTGGCAGAAAGCCCAGCGTGTCAGAGTCATAGAATCCTTCTGGCAGACATGGTCCGAACGAGTCATCCTAATATAGCATTTACATGGTCCTAGCTGGGAAAAAAGAGTGTTCGACCCACTGGATGCGTAAGCATGTGTCTTTGAAGCCCTGGCATGACAAGACATGACATCATGTGTGATCGCGGAATCGTCCTCTCACATGTCCACAAAATCGACCTCCGCAAGGGTTCTTGTGGACAGCGTAGGCTCTTCGTCCAAGGGGTTTGATCACATGTTCTTCAAACCAAAACTGTCGGCCCATCCCATTCTCCGCTCCGCACCTCCTGCGAGAAGCGCTCCGGACCTCCGCTGGCGGTCGGCTGAGAAGTCTGGGAACACGCACCGTAAGCATGCATGGGCGTTGTGAGGCGTTCCATCAAGGAATTGGAAGAAACATGCAGAAACCATCATCCATTCACCAAGCCACACCAGCGACCGAAACAGGCGCCTGCGTTCTCAAGCGCCAGGGAGGCCGCTTCAGCGTCGATGAAGTTGAAAAGCTTGGCGAAGTCCTCCTCCTGGACGAACCGGACCAGCTCATTCGAAGAAGAAGAAGAAGAAGGACGACGAGTCGAGTGGTCCCTCGGAAGGTTTCGTCTAAGACATATGCCAATCGGGTGCCAATCCTTGGTGGTTGGGATCTAGTGGAAAATATCGATCCCTCTCGCTGCAGGCTTGATCTTGCGGGTGACAATGGCACTTGGAGTGCTCTTTTGCAAAGACCTTCCCACCCAGCCACTTAAGAGCATTCTTTTCAGTCTTCCATGTTTCCTCCAAGAGTGAACATGGTGCTACAATACACGTCTAAATGATGTCCAACACCAATAGCGCACCCTTCCCCCTCCCCAGTCAGCCACCAGGTCAGACTGGTGCGCTGGCCCGCTCTCCCCTTGACCCAGCTCGGCCTCCGTCTCGTTGGTGGGGTCGGGAATATCCTCGGCCGGGGGATCCTCATCTTTGGAGTCGTCCTCAGGCTGCTGCGTCGCCTGCGCCGAAAGCACCGAAAAGAGCTGAAATGGGAGCTGTCGGAATGAAGTGATGAAGGGCTGAGGGCGACCAAGACAACCAGCCTAATTAGGGCCTGATCAGTCTTGGACTTCACTAAGTCACTACCCCTTAGACTTAATTATACGAATACTACAAAGTCTACAAAGAAGAACTTCCTTGGGATAAATACTGAGGTGAGGAGGGGACTCCAGTCATCTTACATCTAGCGGGACTCTCGTTGCAAATCCAAACATCGCCTTTTGTGGCCCGCCGACCGTAAAGCCGTACAAGAGACTTGACCCTTTTTGTCGACGGAAACGCGCCGGAGGACGGCACGTCCCCGGCCGCGGACGGCTGAGCCGAGGTGGCCTCCTCTTCGGTGAGGGGTTCACCTTGGAGGTCCGGCTCCTCCTGGTCCGACGTCGGCCGCGGGGACGGCTGTGGGGTCGGCCGTGTGGATGGGCCGTGCGGGCGTGAGCAACGAGCAGATCTCGGTGATCTGGGGCCGGTTGGTGCGATGGCGATTGAAAGCCTGCTCAAAAGACTTGAACCCCCCCAAAAAAACGTCAACAACCAACCACAAGATGCCACAAGTATGTTGTAGACAAGTACGATGTTTGTTAAGATACGTTATGACGAGTACGATGTGTGT